ACATATATATATATATATATATATATATATATATATATATATATATATATATATATATGTGTATATATATATATATATATTATATATATTATGTATATATGTATATAATACATATATATATATATATTATATTATATAATATATATATATATATATACATATATATGTATATATATACATATATATACATATATATACATACATATATAATATATATATATAATATATATATATATAGTATATATACATGTATATATACATGATATATATATATATATATATATATATATAATATTTATATATTATATATATATATATATACATATATATATATAATATATATTATATATATATATAAATATATATATATATGTATGTATATGTACATATATGTATATATCTGTACATATACATACATATGTGTATATATGTGCACACACACACAAACACACACATAGATAAATACACACATGCATGTTTACAGATGCACACACATATGCACACGCACACACATAAGCAAACACACTCACACATATACATACACATTATGTGTATGATCTATGTGCATGGTAGAAATACAAAAATTCAATATAATTTACCTTTAATGAGTGTGATCTATAAAAAGTAGAATGGTAATTGTTGTTTTTGCAAAACACACAACCCTTGACTGAGGTTACAGCATTTTTTTGTATTGCATGCTGGGAAGTCCATGATCTGTTGTTCCCTTGTCCATAATTAAATGTTTCATTTAAAGAGAGCTCTTCCATAAGTGAAACTAAATCTGTAAGTAGAATTATTCATTCATAAAACATGTCATAGGCTACTTATAAATTCAATAAAATAAATCTTTAGTTTATCAAGGCGAGTTATTTTGCCACTTACAAAAAGTTTTTAGTTTGAAATAACCACATTTTTAGCCTATACATTTTTAGCTAAAGCACAGTTACTTACAGTTGTTCATAAATACCTCTTTTATATTTCAATTTATTTGGCAATATCATTAAGCTACACAAACCTGGTTGCTGAGTTTCTTGTGAGAATACTGGTTCAGTTCCCTGAAATGTATTCTGAGGACTGCATACTGGAAAACAGGTGCTGGCTGGTGATGTCGAGTTGCTGTAACTGGAGTGAAGGTTCTGGAATCTACTTCTGCCTGACAAATTAGTAAAGTGATTTTCACTTCCCAGATTGCATTTGGTGTTTAAAGTTGGCTGACCACTGAGGAAGTGATCCCATGCTGTTGCACTGATCTTACTAAATCCCTGTGGCTGGATATCTGTTGTTGATATACTATGATCTTGGGTACTTGCACTTCCAGGAGCCCCCCAAATATTGTTAATAGACTGCGGTGAAAATAAAAGGCTACTCACACCCTGTATATCCTTCTGCTCTACATCTAAAAATATACCAGAATCATTCTGATTCTGGTTGTTTTCTAAACTATCAAAGTTGGCTGTGTTATCACTTGGTGTTTGAATATTGTTACCGAGCTGGTTTATATATAATGAATGTCTTGGTGTATTTGATTCCCAGATATCACTTACATCTTTCAATTTCTTAAGAGGATCAGGAGGTAAATCCACCTCACTTCTCTGTACCACTGTGCTTATGTCAAAGTTTGATACTGGGGAGCTTGTATTTCTATCACATTCATAAAAGCATGTTGCCTGAGTCACTGGTTCACTTGTTTTAACCTCTTGATTATATCCTAGAATATGCTCACTTCTGACATCCATTAAACTATATTCATTATATACAGGAGTACTTTTAATATCTAAAGGATTTTCTTGTATAATTTTTTTCCATAGTGCACTTGTCAGCCTGGGTTCTGTAGTACTAGCACCTTCTGGCACAGACTTCCTATTTTCAAAAAAACTGAAAAAGAAATAGAAATTGAATGGGGGTAACACTGGTATTGTAAAGATCACTTTTTAAAACAGACATATGGAGTATCACTGAGACAGAGAGAGAGAGAGAGAGAGAGAGAGAGAGAGAGAGA